AGGGGGGGGTGAAGCCACGCCCCTCCCGCGGGCGGCCACGCCCCGCTGCGTCCGCGCGTTGCCCCCCCGCCCCCCCCGAGCCCCGGGCGGAGGGGCATCGCCGTTTGCGGCGGCCCCGGGGGGCTCGGCTCTGCGTGGCTGCGGGGCTCCCCGGGCTCTCCGAGCCCCCCCGGCTTTGGATGCGCTGCGGGGTCCCGAGGGTCGCGTCCCCGCCTGCCCTCGTGTCGCGGCGCGGAGCCCCGCGTTCATCTCGCCGCGGGTTCGGCTCCGAGCTGCCACGCATCGCTCGCGGTGTTGGGGGCTGCGGGGGGAAAGGAGCCGCTCACGGCTGTGCGATGGGACGCAGCCCCGAGCCGAGCCGGGTGCAACAAAACCACCTTTGTGCTTCGCTATGAAGCGGTTCTGTAAGAACGCAGCCAACATCCGCACCGCTCCGACACGCGTCTCCCGGCAGGAGAAGCTCAGCCCCGGGGTTTTTTCCTTCCCGTACCACCGCCGTGCAGTTTGCGGGGCTGGGCCGTTCCCTGGCTGGGGAAGCTGCGTGCTTTGCTGATGCTGCTGGATGGGATGCTCCCAGCAACGGTGCTCGACAGGCGGGGAGAAATCCTCGCGTGCATTGACAGGCAGCTGCCGTCTCTCTGGTGGTGAATTTAAAACGCCTGCTTCCATTCTTCGCGCTGCTCCGCCAGCCCGGAGCCGCGCCGCGTGCTGCGTTGGGACCCGGGGATGATGCTGATAGGGTTTTTCCCCCTTGGCACACAGGCGGTGGTGCTCGGGAGGCTGCTGCAGTCCAGCCCCCCTTTCTGCTTGCCCCCCGCTGGTGGGCTTCATGTGAGAGATGGCGAATGCCGAAGTGAGCGTCCCGGTGGGTGATGTGGTGGTTGTACCAAGTGACAACAACGAAGGGGAGAACCCGGAGGATACCAAAACCCAAGTGATCCTTCAGCTCCAGCCGGTGCAGCAGGGGTGAGTCAGGCACCGGCGTGGTGGCGGTTGGGGTTTAGGGGGGGAGTGTTTCAAAGGGGGGGGGGGCTGCAACTCGATGCGTTTTCCAGCTCCGTGCCAATAATGGAGGGGAATAAACCATCTGCAGCCTCGCCAGGCGTAACTCAAAAAGGGCTTTTGTGTATGAGCACTGCAGAGCCTCCGAGGGCTGAAGTCGTCCTGCAGAGACGTGGCTGCACGGTGCCACCCTGCCTGCGTACTGCAGCTGCATGGCTTTGGCAGTGGGGAGCGGGCATGGGGCACCCCAGCACCGTGTCTGTCCTTTCCCGTCACCTTTTCTCAGCTCCAGGTGGGATTTTTGCAGCATTGCAGCTGGTTTACGTGGTGGTCCTGTAAATCTGCATGCAACTCCGTGCTGGTTTTTATTGATCCTCTCAAATGCAGTGATGCCAGGGGGTCGGGGGGAATCTTGCAGCACTCCAAAGCAGCTGCCAGCAGGCACTTCTTCCTAAAGGATGGAAATACACTGGCTCTGGTTTGGAAGTATTTGCAAAGCAGGGTTGCTGTGGGACTGACAGCAGCCCTGTGTGATCACCGGGGGAAGTCACCGATGCTACAGAATGTCACACAGGGTTGGAGGGGAAATCCTGGGCCATTGAGCTCTGCTTCCTGTTGTTGTGGTAATGCTCCTGTCAGGAATCAAAGGAAAAGGCCGAGGGAAGCGTCCTGCAGGGCTGTGTCAGTGGTGCTGGCAATGCCTCTCTGCCTGTGTCAGTCCCTGGGACTGTTATCGTGCCTTTGTGCCAAAAAATGACTGTGATTGAAACTTCATCAAGCACAGAACGCACGTCCCTCGAGGAAGGAAACAAGCCAGATTTTCAGCCCTGCGCCATGAATCTTAATTTTCCACGAATCTAAAATTTCCATGATTTGAATAGCTTGTTTATCCATGGATGCTCTCCCAACAGGATTTACCAGGAGGGCTCAGAGGCGAGTGCTGCTGTTGTGGCCGTGGAAACGCACACCATACACAAACTAGAGGAGGGGATCGGTGAGTGGCTGCGTGGCGTGGGCACAGTCCCTGCTTTGCAGGGCTGAGTGGGTGTCCCTGCTTTGTGGGGCTTCCCTCTGGCTCTGCCCTTGCAGATGATGTTCCCTGGGCTCTTGTTAAGGATGTGGGTGCAGGGTCTGTGCATGCTCTGGAATAAGAGAGCTGTTACTGCTTGGGCTTGGAGCTGAGATCCTGGCTATCTTGCAGTGCATGGTAAGGGCTCCCATGGGGTCATGGGGAGCCAAGATTTTGCTGTAGCCTTGGTGTGCAGATACTAGCAGCTGGGATGAGGGCGATCAGGGTAGTGGCTGTGTCTGCACTGCGCTCTGATTGCTGTGCTTTGCAGAACAAATCCCTGTACAGGTTTGGGTTGAGCATTCTAAAGAGCTGAGGCTTGCTGTGTGTTCTCCCTACCCTCCTGAGGAGCAGTGGGAAAAGCCTCCTGGCCTTAGGTGCTGGATCTTCATTGGTGTTCTGCTTCCTGTGTGGGTGAGGCTCTTCTGGCAGCGTTAGCAAAATCTAACAGAGTGGAGAACTTCTGATGAGCATGTAGCTGATATCTCTGCATTTTCTTCCATATGGTTGTTCTCATTGACCTTCCCCTTACAGATGTGATCCCACTTTTTCCAAATAGACGAGCTTCCTTTTTGTATTAAAAAGCAGATGTCACTTGTTAGTTACAAGTTAGAGCCAGTAAGAGGAGGAGGCTAAAACAGAAGCTAGGAATTCCTAGCTAGGAATATCCCTTCTTTTGGTCACAAGAGCGTAGGTCTCTCAGCCTGTGGGCTTTCAGCTCTCAACGTATGGGGTTTTGAGCCTCTTGGGTGGCAAGTTTCATTTGTCCCTTTCTTCCCTCAGACCCCAGCACCATTGAAACAAACGAGGAAATTGAGATTGCCTATCCCATCACCTGCGGGGAGAGCAAAGCCATCCTGCTCTGGAAGAAGTTTGTCTGTCCAGGAATTAATGTCAAGTGTGTGAAGGTAATGGAGTTTTCACAGCAGATCCCTTCTCTGCTCTCCAGGTCTGGCACTGAACCTCCACAGCACTTCCTTTCTGTTTGTGTTTCATCTGAGCCTTGGAGCTGAGCGACTTTACCTTTGCAGTGTGCTGGATTGTTAGTGCTAAAGTTGTTTTTAGCATGAGCAGAAGGAAAGAAAGAGTGGGACAAGGGGTGAAGGTCTCATTCACTTCATATTTCTTGGCTGCTGCTTAAAGCAGAGTTGTATTTGGCTCTCGTTGAGGGACTTGGAGCTGAAGGCAGGAATGTGTAGTGAGATCTGCCAGAGCTTTTCTTCCTCGTTTCTTTCCCTTGGTGTCCTGATACTCCACTCCTGTCTGCTCCTCAGTGAGCAGGCTGCACCAAGAAGAGGAATCGTGCTGTTACCTTTTCCCATTTGACAGTGTGCTCACATAACAGCTGATGACCGAGGCTGAGTCACAGGGCTCTGCAGTGAGAGCACTCCAGGGCTGACCCTCACCAGGAGCTCAGGTGCTGGAATAGGATGGAACAGATGCCCAAGTGAATACCTGTGAATACCAAGTGTCTGCTGGTCGATTTGATTTCCTAGGAAGCTCCCATAACAATCTCTGAGATGACTGTATGTTCTCACAGAAGGAGACCATTTGGTTCATGCTCTGTACAAAAGCCTGCAGGGCTGTTCCTGGCTAGGGCTGTGTGGTTTGAATGCCAGTGACTGGCAGGCTGTCCTCACAAACACATCCGTGCTGGAGTTAGAATCACTGATGTGTTTAGGCATTCAAAGCTGGTAAGAATTTGAAAGCAGCTTCTCTTTCTGAGCAGAAATAAGGGTTTAGATGAGCTGGACTGGCTGTGGTTATATGCCCACAGTTTTCTGAAGCAACGCTACCCTGAGTTTGCTGAGCTTTTGTTTTATCTCATTGTCAGTTCAATGACCAACTGATCAGCCCGAAGCATTTTGTTCACCTGGCTGGGAAGTCTACCCTAAAGGACTGGAAGAGGGCTATCCGTCTCGGAGGAATCATGCTGAGGTATCTGACTTGCCCACCACTGTGTCCAACTGCAGGATCCCAAGCAGGCATTTTGTCAGGAGATCTCCTGGGGGCTCTTGTTCCCTGCAGCAACTCTGGGGGAGAGATCCTGCTCTACAGGGCAGGATTCTTCATCCTGAGTAATAACAGCCTCACCTGGGGGAACTGGGGGTGGGAGGGGGATGGCCCATAGCTGGAGATGTGTGTGAAGCTGGGGGTTGGCTTGTGCATCCCATCTGAGAGCTCTGCAGTTTTGTGTGGAAGAAGGGCACAGGGTTCCCATTTCTCCATCTTTCCCACGGCCAAAGTGGAATACTCCCTTTCATCTCCAGTCTGAGCCTTTAGCTGAGTCTGATTCTCTCCCACTCCGTGCACAGGAAGATGATGGACTCTGGACAGATCGACTTCTACCAGCATGACAAGGTTTGCACCAACACGTGCCGAAGCACCAAGTTTGATCTCCTGATCAGCAGTGCCAGAGCACCGATGCCAGGGCAGCAGAGCGTGGTGCAGACCCCAACCTCAGCTGATGGTAGGCTCTATAAGAAAGGCATGGCATGGGCTAATGCTAATGACTCCAGGCAGTCTGTTCCACGTCACCTGGAGGTCAGCAAATAGGGTACAATGGCTGAAGGCTTGATTTGACTGACATTCCAGCTACAAATTGTCAGCTAGTCACATGCTTTGCAGCAGGAAATGATCTCTTTGCAGAGGTCAAAGGAGAAGAATACCATCTCGTTCATCTGGGCAGGTTACTTTTTTATAAGGCTGTGGGGTGGTGTGATGGCAGACTTGTCTGTAAGCTAAGGAAAATCTCCTGGAAAGCTCTGTGAGCACATGAGAAAACATTGCAGTGGCTGGATATTGCCTTAGATGTCCAAAATTTGATCCAAAAACTTAAGATCAAGTTGGATACATCTCGTGTGTATGAACTAGCCTGGAGCCAGGCTGTGTCATTTCCTAAGAGATAAAGGCATGTCTGAGGTGCAGAGCACTCTGTTGGTGATGCAGAAGGAGAAAGGTGGCTGGGCTGAGACTTGCTCCCCATCTCTCTATTCTGATCCCTTTCTCCTTTACTGCTAAAGCTCCAGTTTGGTTTTTTTGGAGGGCATGTGGTTTTCCCTCCAGAAGCCACAGAGCCTTTCACAATCGTACTTCCAATGAGAAACAGCATTACTTGCTCGTAGCTGACTTCTTTGAAAGAGGCCAGGCAGAACCAGCCTGACCACGAGAGTGAAAAAGAGCCTGAGAAGGGTAGGGGAGTGGAACACCAAGCAGGGATTCTGGGCTGGTGCTGCAGAGAGGGCTGATGTTGCCTGTTTGGCAGGGAGCATCACCCAGATCGCACTGTCGGAGGAAAGCATGGAGGAGGGGATCGAGTGGAACTCTGCTCTGACAGCTGCTGTCACCATGGCCACTGAGGAGGGCGTGAAAAAGGACACGGATGAGATCTCAGGTAAGTTCTGGCTGCTCCTCGGGTGTTTTCTCTCCCTCTGCTCACATTTTGAAAGTGAAAATCCTGGAAATAAGGAGAGCTGAGGTAGTGCCGGAGCTCCACTGCCCCTTGGCCATCCCATAATTCCCTGCCAAGCAGAGCTCCCAGCCACCTGCAGGCAGTGTGGAACTTCAGCCTCGACCTTGGAGCTGATCCCTCAGATCCAGTTACAGTGAGGATCGTGGGGTTTTTGTTCATTTAGAGGATGTAAATGTCTGCCAGCGTGGAGCCAGACTGAAACCATCAGCGAGCAGAGTCTTGTTGGTACCCTGTCAGCTCTCTTGGCTTCTCTGGCTGCAGCGCTTTGCTCTCCCTCTCAGGATCAGTACAGAAGCTGAGGAGAAATTTTCTCAAAGATTTTAAGCTCTGCATCTTGGGAAGATGAATAGAAGCAACGAAATGTTGCCTTGGAGGTCTTGGTGCTCTTTGAAAACTTGTTAGTGCATTGTTTCCTGGATCTGTCCACCCCAAATGGCCAAATTAGAAGTCATTTTGCAAAGTTATTCTTGCCAAAAAGCTTACTGCACATGGCATAGGTTTAAGGTGGTCCTGTGGGGAAATGCCAAATCCTTGTATGTTTGACTTCTGCCTTCTCTCTGTGCCAGAGGACACGTTGATGTTCTGGAAGGGAATAGCTGATGTGGGGTTGATGGAAGAGGTCGTGTGCAACATCCAGAAGGAGATAGAAGAAGTGCTGAGAGGCGTCCAGCAGAGGCTGGGGCAATCTCCCTTCCAGATGACAGGTAGGTGATGAGCCAGAGCCTCCATCATGGGGAAGAATGCTCGAAAGGGAGCTGCAGGCAAACAAGTGAGAAGAGTCCAGCCATGGCATTTAGAGCTGTTGAGTCGGGATGGTGAGTTCCTTCCTGCTGGCTGAGCTCTGTGAGCTGAGCCTGAGCATTGTCTCAGCCTTCCCAACCATGAGATGCATTCATTTACCCCACAGAAGGACTTGACGTGCTGCCCTGCTCCTGCAGCACACTGACTGGCAGCTTGAGGAGTCCATTGGATGACTGTCCTCAGCTCCAGGTGCTTGTTAAAGCCTGCCTGGATGTGCTGCTTGGTTTGGAGTTACTCAAACACTTTTCTCCATGACTGTGAATTTAAACAGGTCTTGCTGTCTCACTTCTCGTTCCATCCTCACCTGTGCCAAAAAAACTTGTTTTGGGGCTGAACCAGATGAGGGAACAGGTTAAAAATATCTTCCCTTCCCTTTTGAGGCTTATTTCTGGCTTGGATCCATTCCCTTATCCAGTTCAGCTCGTGGCTCTGTGAGCACAGGGTTGCCAGCACAGCTTGTTGATGCTCTAGGAGAACACCCATGCGACCTCAGACTTCATTTCACCCAGGATGTTTTTGGCTTCTCATGTAGCTTTGGGCTGGTGAATCTTTGTGTCTGGTAGGTGGCAGCTTTTGGAAGCTGTGAGTGATTGAAGTCAGTGGATTATAATAGAAATTCTGCACAGCTTTTGGTGGAGCTGGCACGTTAATGACACTGTCAGCTGCATGGGGTGATGGTTTGTAGGTGGAGATCTGGTTTGTATCTGTGTGATTGCAAATTATGCTTTCACTTTGCAGCAATTTTGAGCTGCTTGGGTGACACATCTGTTTCATTTTCATTATCATGTGAATGAATTTATTTAGTCCTTGGATGTCTGAAGGATGAAGGAGATGGCTCTGCCCTTGTCAGCCAGCACATGTGGAGGAACAGAAACGGTTTTATAAAAAGCATCAGAAAATTTTGAGTTTGATCACAACACCTTTTGAGTTCCTGATTGAGGCCCTTGCCCCCCTGTGGGACTGGGCACTCATTCCCCTGCACTTTCCTTGCAGATGCTGCAGTTCTAAACAACGTTGCTCACACGTTTGGCCTGATGGACACAGTCAAGAAGGTTCTGGACAACAGGAAAAACCAGACAGAGCAAGGAGAAGAACAGTTTCTTTACACACTTGCAGGTAGAGTCAGTGCCCTGGCTTCTCATCCTCTTGCCACCCTTGGGAACCAATGTGACCTTTCCTCAACACAACACCTAACAAGCTGTATTTGCATTCTTGTTCAATCCACGTAGCCCTCAAACAAATGTAGCCCAACCCCTTTCCATCCTAGGGCTTGAGTGGAATTTCTTGTATCCTTTCCTAGGAGAGATCAGGTGCTCAGGGCATTCAGAAGCCCAAAGCATGATCTGATTCAGCTGGCATTAGCAGATAGGTGCTGCTGCTAGCTGCGAGCTGTGCTGCAGTCATCTGAGCTGCTGGCAGTGCAGTGCTGCACCCAAGCTAATAAAACTCTTTGTCTGCGTGGTGCTGAGCTGTCTGCCTGTCTCGGCGTGGAGCTATCTGGTGTCTCTCCTGAGCTGAAGCCAATAACCTGACCTGGATTCCCCAGAGCTGCTTGGTGCATGTGTCTCCCTCTTGTCTGTGTCCTGTAGGACTTATTCTTATCTGGGGTGTTCTAGTCCCCTACTGCCCTGGATAAATGAGATTAGCGTGCTGCTTTTGGCTTTTGATGTTGATACAGATGAGAGCTGAGGAGGATGTCTGAGCTGACCCAGGCAGCTCTGCTCCTTTTTTCCAGGCACAGGGCTTGGCTTCTGGGAGACCCAGCTGTGCTCAGTCACCAGTTCCTGCTGCCTGGAGGGGATGTCCATTCCCTGTGGGTGGCTTTCCCCTGGATAAGTGCCTGTCCTTTTGGCACTGGGAGCAGCTGAGCGGTGTGGAGCAGTGCCAGCTCCTCCTTGGGGTGGGCTGGCTGTTGGTGGAGCCCCTTGGAACACCCCCAGCCCGCTGCTCCCAGCCCCATGCACAGCTTAGCTGTTTTCTTTGCAGACCTGGAACGGCAGCTGGAAGAGCAGAAGAAACTCGCCAAGGACCAGAAGGCCAAGTCCCAAACCATCCAGAACGTGGTGCTGATGCCCGTCAGTGCTCCAAAGCCCCCCAAACGACCCCGCCTGCAGCGCCCGGCCTCTGCCACCGTCCTCAGCCCCTCCACCCCCATCCAGCAGCCTCAGTTCACGGTCATCTCTCCCATCGCCATCGCTCCCGTCGGCCAGCAGTTCTCAGTGGGCAACATCCCAGTGGCGACCATCAGCCAAGGCTCCAGCCCGGTGACTGTCCACACTTTGCCTTCAGGCTCTCAGCTCTTTCGATACGCCACCGTGGTGTCCTCCTCTAAGACCAGCTCCTCCGACACCGTCACCCTCCATCCGTCCTCCAGCCTGGCGCTGCTGAGCTCTGCTGCCATGCAGGATGGAGGTGCCTTGGCCAACGTGGCGGCCGTGGTCAACCCCGTGGAACTGGTGGCCATGGAATCCGGCCTCACCTCCACCATCCAGGCTGTGGAAGGCACTTCAGATGATGGGCAGACCATCATTGAGATCGACCCAGCACCCGACCCCGAGGCAGATGGGGATGAGTCAGAGGGGAAAGCTGTGATCCTGGAAACAGAGCTGAGGACTGAGGAGAAAGTGGTAGGAGATGTGGAGGACCACCAGCACCACGTGCATAACGTGGAGATCGTGGTTTTGGAGGACTAGTGGGAAAAGCGAGCGTCAGTTTGGGAAAGAGTTGGGAATCTGTTTTATTTTGGGCTTTTTTTTTTTTTTTTTGTTCAGCATACTTTCCAGCCGCCCCATTTGTTTCCATGGATATTTTCATTGTACTGTATATATATTATATATATATATATATATAATTTTTTTTTTTTTTAAACAAAAAAGCTGGAGAAACGCCCGAGACCTGGAAAAGGCTCCACCTCCACGGAGCACTGAACAATACTGCCTGTTTGTAGGGTCGAGGAGAGACTGGATCTCTGCTGAAAACCCCACCAGGAGGGATGGGACAGGGCTCCCAGTGCTGGGAGCGTGGTGCTTCTGCCCCAGGGCTGCTGCAGCCCGGATGGTTTCATGTCAGAGAGACAATACCCAGTGGCTGAGTGCTGGTGGCACTGTGGGAAGGGGTGGCACAGGTACCTCATTTGTATTTTTATTTTTGCCCAGGGAAGGGAATTCTTTTAGACTTTTCACTGTCCACCTCAGCTGGGATTTTTTTATGATTAATTATTATTAATTATTATTATTATTATTATTTTCGCTTGGGGGAAGAAGACAGGAATGCTGGCTGCGTTTTCCTCCACACACGTTGTTTTTATATCTCTATTTTTTTTTGTATTTGTTTGCTTTCCCTTCCCATGCCCACATTGGCCAGCTGCAAACCTCGGTCCCGCACTGGGGCTGCACTCCTCTCCCCGCAGCGCTTCTCCCCTTCCCTCTCCCCGCCTGGCTGAGCTCGGCGCTGCAGACCCTGCTTGGAGATATCTGATCACTTCAATTGCTTCAAGGCAAAAAGAACAAACTCAAGCTTAAAACCACAGCCTTCCCCACGGTGGGGCGTGCAAAGCATGTCGTGCTGTCGCTTTTTAGGAGCGCCGGCCTCCGGAATGGGATCGGGGCGGTCCCGTTTTACACTCCGCGCTGGGGCTGCTCCGTGCTCGTTGCTACTCGTTTGGTGGTTTTATTTTTTGTATTCTTTGTTTTCGGGTTGTTTTTTTTTTTTGTTTGTTTGTTTGTTTTTCTTTTTTTCTTCTTCTTCCTATAATCTCTCTGCAGGATTAGGAGCGGTGCATCGGCAGGACAGCGCCTGCACCCCTCTGCGGTCCCTCCTTCCTCGTCTTCCCAGCAGAAGGCAAAAGGGATGGCTGGGGGATTTGGGGAGGGGGG